TTAATGCCCTTCTGCTGTTGTAATGTTGAAATCTCCCCAGTGTGGGATGAATAAAGTCTATTTTTATCTTATCTTATCTTTATGGAGGGGACATTGCTTTTTTAAAGAGACTGAAAATAAGCAGTTGGTGATAACTGATGCCAGCCTTTAACACACCCACTGATCCAGCCTGGAAAGGATTCATATTACGTGCAATTATTACTGCTCTTTGCATTTGTCTCGTTTTTATTTCAGAAAAATATAACAACCTAACCTGCAAAATCACCTTATGGCCCTTCCTCTCACTGACCCTCCGGACATCTCAGACCCTCATGTGCTACAGGCATAATCCCTTCACTTCTTCAATTATAAACTTTTTCACCAGCACACTTACAGAAGTTACTTTATCCCCAGCCCTGCTATCATTCCCACTCACATTCCACTATTCTGTAATTCACGAGAGGCCGTGCTAAATTGCTTATTAATCAGGCCACTTTGACATGACCGCGATTGCTGCACATGCACACATGCACATTACAGGCATGCACGTTTTTACACATACACGCAGGAGCATGCATATACGCACATACTCAGAGAAACATGCACCAACACACACATATACACACTTCTATCTACACTTCTAATCTGCTAGTAATGAGGTCAGTGCTCTCATTAGAGCTGAGAGAAAAGAGGGAGGATATGAAAGAGAGAAGAAAGAGGGACGAGAGGAGGGGAGGGCAACAAAGAATATCTCATGTCATGTTTTCCCAGTGGAGGTCAGGGTCTGTGTGCGTCTGTGTGTGACTGAGTGTGTGCGTATCTCTTCTGCATCATCCGCAACACATGACTCTATGTTCTACATATATGTGAACTTCATATAATACATTATTCAATGTGTTTAGCTGCGTTCCAAGCATGTATTTAAAAATAATCGAAGTGTGTAATAGTGTAAGTGTATGTGCACAGTTTTCTTGGTTAGTGCTGTGACTGACCGGGTCCAGTACAGGTGTGATGAGCAGGTGTTTTCCCCAGAGGAACTGCCGATCCACAGTCCAGGTGGTGCTGTCAGAGTAGAACCTTGGGAATGACAATGATCATGATTTAGATTCACGTGTAAAACCATCATGTCCTGCTTCGCCCAGTCAGTAAATCCATGTCAGTACACTTTACCACCATTCTTTTGGAGCAATTACAGCCTTCATCATTAATCACTTGTTTAAAA